TCTTGACGTAAAATACTCATCATTGTCCGCAGCTCATAGGCACGAGGAGCAGATCCCTTCCCAAATCGCGCCTCGAGATTAACCCAAATTTCTCTAGCTGTTTTGGCATAACGAATGGAGCTTATGACCTCTTTCTCCATTAATGTCTTCAACCACCCTTTCACAAGGTCTTCAGATTGGAGCCATGCTCCCAACAACTCTTGATCTTCAGGTTTGACGACAGTCCCATCAACGATCCCGATCTTATTCTTTGCGATGAGGGCCTCGGACATATCGGTTACCCACTCGCCATAGTTGGAGTCGGTCAACAGTTCCCCAACAAACAGCTGGCCGGGATTATCAGATGCTTGAATTCGGAGAGCGGCGGGAATAACCAAAGGGAGTTGTTGCCCGCCAGAACCACCGCCAGTGCTCACCAACGCGCTGTCAGTGCCGCCGCCAGAACTCATTGTCGCTCAGGATCTTCAAACGACCTGCTCTGATACCATGAAAGATTTGTGAACCTAAAGGAAAAGCAAACCACAACACAAGCGATTTACGCGGTATCCTCGTTCATGTGAACAAGACTATTCCACGGAGAAGTAAGCCTTCTCAGTCTTTTCTCATTAGCTTAAGTGGCTGAACAATTACAGCAGTATATATATATATATATATTATATATAACCCTAAACAACAATCACCTTAGGGTTATATGTAGGAACTAAGATGGAAAATACAAATTAGTCCCTACACTAATGACACATATCTTTTACTTTCCACCACTACTTGAAATGTCCAAGCTAGCTTTGCCTCTGATTAGAGCTCCCTTCTCGTCGATGCTTCCTGGTGAATCAATTTAGAACACGCTTAGCTGCTGATGCATCAGCGTCATTCAAGCTTCCCATCATTTATCTAGTTGCAACACTTGGAATCTAAGCTAATGTGTCTATGACATTCCAATTGCAATTAGTGGACACGTCCCTTCCATGCTTGAGAAATACGTGTAGCCATCTTAGTATCTTACCCATCTAAATAGCCTTTATATATATGGACATATGTACATACAATTCACCACTTTCCACTCTTTTACGTTCATGCAGGATCTAATGCCATTAGATTTGACCATCAACGCCATTACTGAATTTGGAGAGCTAGGGAGACCCTTACCTTGTCGATCAATACTTCTTGCCACTCGACGTAGGTCCTCCCATCAGAAAGCTTTCGTGCCAGCCACACATAAATGCCTGAGCTATCCTTTAGTCCATGGTCGATCCTCATTCCTGCCATCCTTTGCCTCAACCGCCACGATCCCAACTCTCTTCCATTGTCATCATCGTTCCCATTCCAAGTTGCCAGCGCTACCCATAGCCAAATCCACCTGCTGTCATGTCACCATCATCGTCCTTGAGGATCGATTTAGCCCCAGTGCCATCACCACCACCGTCGTCCACCTCAGTAACAGCCAGTCTTTGTTTCCCCAACGTTCCGACTTTCCCACGGGTCGTCTCTTCAGTCCCCGCTCGGACTTATCATCTTGGGTATCAACCTCGACCCGGACCACACATAACCCCGTACGCTTGATACGACTAAATCACCAGGCCATGAGGTCCCTGTTCCTCTATTCGCCCAAATTGTGAAAGTAGTCTTTCATCACAATCCTCGTCGTCCCGTCTTTGGGTTCCCCAGTAATGAAGACGACAACGATAAACGGAGGTGCCTGGATTGCTCGCTTGCCGGCGACGGTAAGAGGAGGGACGAGAGGGAGGGGGAGCGTTGCCGGTGTTCCTTCTTTCTCCTTCCCTTCTGTTGTTGTTGGGGGAATACTTAGGGAGGGGAAGGGGGTCAATTAGGGTTAATTACTAGGGGATTTGAGAGTAACGGGTGTGTTTAATTTGGCTGTTGAGAGAGAGAGATAACCGTTCGGGAGAATAAAGGGAGAGACTAGAGAGGGTAACGGTAGTGGATGTGGGAATTTTCCTTTCCTCCTTTTTTTTATAATAATATTGTCATCCTAATTCCCGGTTGTAACGTTCCATACTTAATCGACTCGTTCATTTATCACGGTCGAACCTAAAACCAAATTTTCGGGGTGTTACAACATTCACTGCCTTTGTTGACAACGGTGAAGGTAATCACTGCGTTGTCCGAAGGCGGTGAACTTTTGGTGGTTGTGACCTAATTTTCACCTACCGGATTTGGGAAACGTGGAAAACTATCACCGTCGTAACCTAGCACGGTGAACACTTTCCCCGCTTTACTCAAAGGTGGTGAAGTAATCACCGCTGTAAACAAACACGGTTATGTTTTCACCGTTTTAGTTAAACGCGGTGATAGTGTTCACCGTTTTAGTTAAGCACGGTGATAGTGTTCACTATAGGTGTCAATCGGACGGGTTCGGGCTCGGTTCAATCGGGTTCGGGTTCAAACGGATTGTGGGTTAGTCGGGTTGCGGGTTCATCGGGTTCGGGTTTATCGGGTTCGGGTTCAAACGGGTTGTGGGTTAGTCGGGTTGTGGGTTCATCGGGTTCGGATTCAATCGGGTTGCGGGCAAATCGGGTTGCGGGTTCATCGGATTTTGGGTCGGGCGGGTTGCGGGCGGGTCGGGTTTCGGGTTGTTCGGGCCAGCGCATCAAGTAACTTAACTCATTACTCATTACCAACTTACACATTTTATTACACTAATTTAAAATATTTTCTCAACTTTTTAACCAATTTATTTCTACCTCGTATATATATACTTTATTTTTTTGAAAAAAACTAGTCAAAATGTTAAATCAATTTGTATGACTTGCAAACTTGTTATGTAATTAATCATAATTGGTAAAGTATTATATCTAATAGTAATGGTGATATCAATATTTGCAACCAAAAGACACCGTTAATTGTTTATTTGATATTTTAGTATTAATTCAGTAGTAACTGGATTAACGTATCTCGGTTAGTATAACCATGCAAATCTAGTATTTGGCAAAAGCATAGTGATAAAAGGAGTTATTATTTCAAAATAACTCATTGCCCAAATAACTTTAGTAAACTGTTGCCAAACGAGTTATTTGTAAAATTGTTCGAATTATCCTAAAAATTGAACCATTAAAGATTAGCTATCAAATTTAGTAAAATTATTGTGACTTCAATCATAACTTACTCAATAGCATATATCCTATACACTTAGCTTTACCCTCAATCAACAATATTAAGTTAGTATATGTTGTTGATTGTATACCCTAAATCATCAATACATTATACACTAACCACATAACCAATACCCTAACCATATGTCCTTGAGTTGTGATTTTGCTAGTATAGTTAATTTAAAAGTGAAATTCATACTTTGATTTTCAAAACATAGATAAAAAGTGATATTTGCTAATTGTTATGCCCTAACCATATATTCTATACTTTACACCACATACCTTGTACCCTAACCACGTACCATAAACATAAATTAAAAAGGGATCTCCTGCCGTTAAAGACTTCAAATGACTTCAAGTGAACATATGTTAATAAAAAATTTAGAACCGTCAAAACCATCAATATCTTATACCCTAACCATATACACCCTAAACCATATGTACCTTATACCTTATACCCTAACCATATACTTTATATCCTAAACAACGAACCGTCAAAGATTACTTATCAAGTTTAGTATAAATTGTTGTAACTAATGGTTAATTTATTTATTAGGCCATTAAAATTTACATACATATATACATATTAGCCTTCAAAGCATATAAGAATAATTTTAACTAGTCATGCCCACCATATAAAAGTTAAAGATTCATATTTCAAAAGTTAAAATTATGAAAAACCAAAAAATTGAAAATACCAAATTTGTTTCCTTCTTTCTTTTCACAAAAATACTAAAATTTCACTCCTTCTTTCTCCTTCCATACATTAGAAAAACTAAATTTTCCCTCATCTTTCTCTTCCATAAAATTGAAAGAACCAAATTACCCTCTTCTTTCCTTCTACAAAAAGTTGAAAAGTCAAAAGTTTCCCTCCTTATTTCTCATTCATAATCAAAAGAATCAAATTTTCCCACTTCTTTCTCTTCCCACATATCAAAACCACCAAAATTCCCACTTGTTTCTTTTCTAAAATATTCAAAGAACCAAATTTCCCTCTTCTTTCTCTTCCCAAAAACTTGAATACACAAAAATTTCCCTCTTCTTTTAAAAACATCAAATTACCAAATACATTACTTTACTTTATTTATATTTAATTAATAATTTTATTGAATAGTTAAATTAACCAAAAATTTTAATTTATATATTATATTAATATTGTCATGATCTCAAGTGACCTTCATGTTTCAATTTTTGTCATTTTCTTAAAATACGTAATATCAAGTGAGTTTCATATTTTTAAAATTTCTTATACGAAATGAAAAAATAATTTTACTTAAGTTTAGAATGAAAAACTTTATTTTGAAAAACTATGTATTGTATATTTTTATAATTATTCAAGTGGATTAGATGAACTTCGGGTTGAGTCGGTCGGGTTACGGGTTAGTCGGGTTCGGGTCAATCGGGTTCGGGTTAATCGGGTTGCGGGTCAATCGGGTTCGGGTTAATCGGGTTGCGGGTTAGTCGGGTTGCGGGTTAGTTGGGTTGCGGGTCAATCGGGTTGCGGGTCGGGCGGGTTACGGGTTGTTGACTTTTAGTCAATTCGGGTTGCGATCGGGTTGCGGGTCGGATTGATCGGGCGGGTTAATCGGGTCGGGCTATGTTTTGACACCTATAGTGTTCACCGCATTTGTTCTCGACAGTGATTGTATTCACTGCCTTAGACAAAGACGGTGAATGTCAAACATGTGTACTTTGAGAATTTTTTTTTATAATTAACGTATTTCGGAAAAAAATTTGATTACTAATGTATTTGGATTTTTTCCTACAATTAGGCCGGACCCAAAGATACTCCAAACCTGAGAAAACTTCATTATCTGGCCAAGAGACCGTTCAATAGTGGGCTGGGCTGAACCAATCAACTAGCCACCGGACCACTCTTTCCATACCTATGACCGACCTGACCCGGTTCGACTGCCGTTCTCTCAGCCAGGAAACACAGTGAGAGAGCTAGTCGCCATACCCAATCGGAAGTCGGAACAAGTGAACAACTGATGCGTTGTATTTGTATACAATCGGAAGTCGCTAATCCTGCGGAAAGCGAATTGTCGATCCAGGAACCCCCATTCAGAAAGTAGAATCCCCGCTCGATTCAACCTCGTTCTTGTAAGTCTGCTAATTCCTTGACTCGCGAATCGCAATCTCGATCGTCCGTTGCCCAACCGCTTAATCGATCTCTTGGGTTGCTGATTCTAAATTTCTATTTGTCCAATTTCCCGCAGGAAGCAGCCATCCCAGACCGGGGCCCAGTTAGGAACTCGTATTCCCTCATGTCAGGGCCGAATGAGGATAGTACTTCTCCTCATACACAGGTATTGCTCTTCTTCCATCCATGGATTGTTTAAAGTCTTCAGCTTTCTAACCTAATAAGATTTAAGTAGTGATCTATTTGTTTGTATGTCTAGCAATGCTTTCACCCTCTTCGTTTCTTCAACTTTCAACTCGAATGATGACAAATAGTTGGAGCATTTTCCTTGGATTACACCCGATTTTCATACTGCTTGGAATGGATACCTTATTTCAGATTATGTGAAGTTTGTTTCTTTTTTGCTCTGCATAAAACAGCTGTCGTCCCAATTGCTTGGGAACCTGCTGGATTCCATAATAGCAGATGTGGCGTCTGAGTGTCATAGGATAGCAAAGCTAGGGCTAGATCGCAACCTGGAGGAAGAGGAAGAAGAGTTGAAGCTGTCAGCTGAAGCCCGGGCGTGTGTAGCTGATGCCGCGGCTGAAACGAATGGCAAGTATGTGATGGATATCTTTGGACAGACGCATCCACCTATTGCTAATGATGTATTCGATTGCATGAATTGTGGGCGATCTGTTGCTGCTGGGAGGTTTGCTCCTCATTTAGAAAAGTGCATGGGAAAGGTGACTTCTTTGTTTGCCTAAAACTTGAAATGCATTACATGCTTGCTTCATTGCTGGAGTCTGACTGCTGTATATACTACCTGCTGTTCTGGTTTCGAACTTTCGATTGCTTGCTGAATTCAGATTTTGTGTTTGCTCTGTTCTGTTTACAGGGCAGGAAGGCGCGCAAGGCAACAAGAAATAGCACGGCAAACCAGAACCGATATTCACGAGGCAGCCCTGCTTCGACGTACTCTCCTTACTTAAACTCCACCACCACTTCCAACCAGTTGCCAAATGGGGCGACTGGTATTGCAGGTGAAGGTTACTCCAATGGTTCATTTGAGGAGAAATGAACATATATAATCTGATCATGTCAGGGGCAACCTTCAGTCACAAGGAAGGAACTAACTCAATCAAGTAAGGTGAACCTCTGTGCTGTCCTTTATTTTGTCCATGAATCATGCAGATGAGAGTAGCATTGTTAACTGATCGAACATATTCCAACTCTCATTTAAGTTATTTCTAACTCCAATATATGGGGAACAGATGAATGAATGAGAAAGAAAGTTCCTTGTACAGCTGAAATTTGTTTGTAAAACATGAGTTGCCTCACATTAAATGCTGAAAATGAAATGCTCGGCTGACATAATAAACTCTTTAATATTTGTATTCTCTTCACCAAAAGAATGTGAATAGGAAAGGTAATATCATGGTTTGTCCTGCTACAATGCAATGTATATATTACTTCCACCTCTCCTGTCCTAAGCGTAGTAGCAGAGCCCAAACGCAGAGAAACTCCCCTTGCCATTGCCAGCACACCGATTTGTCACAGCCTCCACAATGTGGTTTGTTGAAAAATGGGTTCACACATTTGCCATTACAGCAGGTCTCATTGTACTTGCACTTATTCCCACATCTCCCGCAGTTGAGATGCTCTTTCAAAACATCGACACACTTCTTGCAACAATGAGACCCCGGACTTCCCCTGGCAAAGCATATCCTGGGAAACTCGTTCCAGTTCAAACGCTCAGCTGGCATCTTTCTCTTTTGAGCAAGAAACCGACTAACGACAAGGCTGCCATCGTTCCCAACATGTTCAGAAGATCCGGTCAGGATGTTGGCTGAAATTTCTTTATCCTCTTGTAGTTCTTCTTCATCCTCTGGTCCTGGTAATGCGTTGATGCTCAAGACTAGGGCCATTGCAACCATGAGAACATTGAGAAGCAACAAGTATTTAAAGTGCGATTGTATGGGAGAGGAACAATCAATGAAGAAGACAGCTCCAAAGGTATACTTGGAAGGACAAGAAAGGGGCTCAAGTTAAGCTTGTGGATGAGAAGTTGAGAGCAGCAAAGGAGAATGTGGGGCTTTCATAGCAGCTCTTGAGGAGTTCGTTCTTTCTTTATCAAAATTTTTTTGCTGACAGAAAACATGTTGAATTCATGTGGTAATGGAGTTGATGAAGTGGTCTGAATTCAGCAAATAAACAAATTAAGCAGCCATAAAGGTAAACGAGAAGAAGCACCAACTTCAGTTCCTTGATTAAAATAGAGATAGGCAAAGGTCCTCAAGGGACAGATAACTTTGACTAAAACCAAATCTGGGCATTATATAGTTGTGTTGAAAAGTGCAGTTGGTTTATTTGTTTGGAGACACGTGGCCAATGGGTTCCAAACGATTAGGCCGTGTGTTAAAATATGATGTTAAATTAGAGGGGAAGTCAATGAAGTTGTCAAAATTTGGCCAATCTGATCGACATATGAGGCTTCTGCTTTTGTAACAGACTGATTGAAGAAAATGATCAGCAACAAAGGAGGCTTTCTCATTTCATATTTGCCACTTTTTTTTTTTTGGCCTAAATTGGAAGATCAACATATGCGTCAAGCCTCCCATTCAACTTGCATATTACTAAGCTTCTTCATGTGTCTTTAGACCGTATCGGCGAAAGAACAATGCTCTCCTGATGTATTTCCTGAATGTGCTCTAGCGTCGGAGCTATAACTTTCTAGTCTTGCTATCTCTAGTCATCTTTATGCCAAGGATCTTCTTGAGAACACCTAGTCCTTCATTAATTATTTTTATTAATTATTTTTATATATAAACCTGAAGTAGTTTTACGGTTGTCTAACAAATTACAAATTGGTCATTATAACATTTTTACAGTTTGATACCCCACATTTAATTTTAATGTAAAATCATTGAATAATTATATAGATTTTGGTATCTAAATTTTTAAAAATTTACATATTGGTCCAATGTCTAGATTTCACTTGAATCCATGAATCCAATCCACCAATACTTTTGAACCAATCAATGAATCCAATCCAACATAGCATAAAAGTATAAATTTAATTTGTATCATACAAGATGTTATCACTCAAATGTAGAAGAAGATTCGACATTTTATAATTGCTCAATACGTGAAACATTAAATAAATGATAAAATAGAGACAACTCTAAAATATTGTAAGAGCGAATTTATAAAATAATTTAGTACATTTACGGGGTACTAAACAAACTTCTACTGACTACACATGTAACAAAATATGCGACATCTATACGGGTGTGCAACGGTTTGGTCCTATCTGGACCGTACCTAGACCGATCCATCATTGCATTTGGTCCATTTGGTTCAGTTCGGTCCGGTCCAAATATCAGTTCGGTCCATCATTTCTTCGTAATTTCAAAATTCATGTGGACCGAGGACCGGACCGCATTATACTCGATCCGGTCGGTTCCTGGACTGGACCATTGCACACCCCTAGACATCTAAATAAGCAAGTGTCAATAAAATGTTACGGTGAAAGTGGTTAATTGTTGTATTGACGGCCAACTAAAAGAATTGGTCAAAACCTTTCCATCGTCTACTTCCTCTTCGTTTCATTTTTCACTCGCCTTCCATAACCCTTTCTTTGCTTTCTTCGTGTAATCCTAATTGGCATACTATTTTTATGTATTCTAATCAAAAGTATGAACGGTTCCATACACGACTCACCAACAGTCTAGAGAATTAATAATTGAACCATGAACCACTAATTTTTTCAGCTTAATGTCAAGTCTAAGTAAAAATAAATATATATGGTTATTACTTATTAGAAAATCGCCATTTTCCACTATGGTATTTGAAGGCATGAAATTTTAAGCGAGTTCCAGTTTGTGTGCATTTTGCTTCTCTCTAGAGTTTTTCTTTTTCAACTGGGCTAGAATTTCCTAATCACAAGTATGAACGGGTCCATACACGACTCACCCAAAGTCTAGAGAATTAATAATTGAATCATGCACCACTAATTTTTTCAGCTCAATGTCGAGTCCAAGTAAAAATAAATATATATGGTAATTACTTATTAGAAAATCGCCATTTTCCACTATGGTATTTGAATGCGTGAAATTTTAAGCAAGTTCCAGTTCGTATTCATTTTCCTTCTCTCTAGAGTTTTTCTTTTTCACCCGGGCTAGAATTTTCTACAATTATACATGGAATGTTTGGTTAGGCATCTATACATATCAAATAAATAGTTTCCATTTTTGTATAAAAAGTAAATAATTATCATCATAAATACATCACCATAAAAGGAATTAATCCTCAACTATGCAAATTAAAGTTCTGTATCTAAACTTATGGGTCGTTTGCTTCATGGATTTGAAATATGAGGGTTTTGGTAAAACCTGGTTTTTGAAAAACCATGGATATATGATGGATTTGGTGGCATCATGGATTTGAACAAGTCTATTGTTTGCTTGTTGGATTTGATAATGGATTTTATTTGATTAGATTTGTGGATATGAAACACAAATTACCTTGTTACCCTTATGTAATTATATTTTCATTAAAAACAAATCTAATGCATACAAAGTAACCGAACTTCTACTTTGTGAACTCGTTCAATTACAAATATAGAAATGCATAATAGTTTGGACATGATACAACTCCCTAATTTTTGGATCTAACTGTCGATCTAGCAATAATGCACAAGATGAGCAAAAAGTGTTAGAAATATCAATAGAGGAGTAAATAGAAGACTCAGTAGACGAAGATGTGAAATTCAACCACAATTGAAAATGTCCTGATTTTTTGGTCAAACTCGAGCACCACGCTTAATCAAAAATTTCATCTCGAAATTCACAATTTATGCGAGAAATTAATGTTAAACAAGCCCAAAAAAAGAAAGAGACAAGGAGAAACAAACGTGAGAGTCCTTTATCATTCATTGCTCAATATGAAAAACTGAGGACGAAGAGTTGGAGGCCGCCACTAGAGAAGAAGAAAGGGTAGATTAGTCATTAGGTAAAATAAGTAGGGATAAACTAGTAAAATGCCATCATGGATTTAAATCCATCACCCAATTCCCACCTCCATAGGTGGAACTTCCAAGTCCGTGGGGTCCACGGATTTGGACCTCCAAACTCTGTGGGCCCCACAGATTTACTCCCTCAAATTCCATCAAGCAAACAATAGACTTTTGTTAAAATCCATGATAAATGCAAGTCCATCACCAAATCCATCAACAAAACCTTGAAACAAACGACCCGTTAATGGATAACATAAATTTATTTTTTGGCATATAAGTCCTCAAAATATTGATGGAATGTTACATTTTAGTACCTAAAATTTTTGTGTATTACATTTTATTACCTAAACTTTTGAAGTTCTACAAATATGTTTAATTTTTGTATGTGTAATTAAAACACCCTCTAATAAATGGGTATCCATACCCAACTCATACACATTTAGATTATGGAAGTAAATATCCACATCCTACGCAAACCCATTTACAAACTTCTAAACCCATATATACGTCACCCATACCCTATCCATAATCAATGGGTCTACTTAGGTTTAGGTAAATATCATTTATTAGCCAAAAATTTTAAATTTTTTTAAATTGGATGTTGACCACCATATATCTCTTCTTAGTCAATATCATATTGTCAAGACAATATTACTAACAAAAATACTGACAAAAAATTAGTTTTAGACTAATAATACTAAAAAAATATCATTATGGATCACATAATACATACTCATACGCCATCTTCTCGTGCCAAAGCGCGGTATCGCCACCTAGTAATATATATAAAGCAAAAACATATTTACTGTTGCCTACGAGTGGTAAATTTTATCGAAATCTTGGTTAACTAGGCTTAAAATATGGACTTTGATATTCTAATGAGTTGGGCTAAAAATATGGGTTGTACTTATTCTACCTGTTGGAGTTAACCCTCCAGCTTAGAAATACATAGTAGGATTAAGACATGAAATTTTGCTCAACTATCTTTTAAGAGAGGAAATTTTGATCGAGTATCTTTTAGTTTTGCTACTATTTTCCTACTAGCTTATTACCTCATCCTTAGCTGGACGTAGTAACTAAATTGACTCTTAGATTCTAACTGATAGTACCCGTTAACATGTATATGGAGGTAGGTTAACAACACTATATATAATAATATGATGGAAAGTCATTATCCAATTGCATTACAAAAAAAAAAACAATGAAAGATAAACACTAGACAATCCAAATCAAGTCATTAGCCTTAAATATAGCCAATATTGCCATGCACCATGATGCCCCTAGAGTGAACATGGAAAAACAAAATGAATGCTTACCTAGCTCCAATTATCGATGGTAAGAATGGAAGCCAGTAGCCACCAAAAGATTTCATAAGAAAAACACAATCTGGATTGCTCTTAGACCAAAAACCATAGTGACACCAAAGGCGATGATTGCCTGGCTGAGAAAACAAAAATCAACAATGTCTAAATCAAGTCGATGGAATGCTTCAGACAGTTTTTTCTGATATATAGTTTTGTTAATTAAAATGACAGGAAACAAAAATACAAAGCATGCAATCTGCTGTAGAAATCTCATATACAAACAAAAGAAACAGGCAAGCAATATATGCGTGGAAGCACCAACATATAATAACTTTTGTTAATATCCCTACTACTGTGAAATACTACCAAATCACTCCTAACCACTCTGTTACAATAAACACACAAATGACTAACAACTCTGTACTTTCTATCACTTCAATCCGTATATGTCAAACATCATGAACCATCCCTATTATCATTATTCTTATCCTTCTCCACAGCAAACACACTGATTGGTCCACTCTCATTCCTTCTTATGGGCAGCTACATGACATTTTGCATCACTGCACATTAATTCAAACGACCATTTCTTGCTGCAATTTATGGTTTGGGTTAATAGTCATAATATAAATTTACATGAAATGAAAGGAATGATCATTATAATAGCCTTGTAAAATTTAGAGTACCAATGGCGATTCCTCTCTTCTCCTCGGTGGCTTCATCAATAAAATGAGATTGATGACTATCTCTACCACCCTATTATATATGATCATAGTATGGCCTTTGTATAAACCATTTATGCCTTACGCATTTTCGCAACGCAACTTGAAGAGGAAGCTCATGTTACCCTCTTTTATAGCTTAACTTGACAATTTCTTAGAGGAGATACAATCACGATTCACAATTCTAGAACAACCACCTCAGATAATACAATCTTATGGAAACAACACTAATGAAGCACCTAAATTACAATTCTGTACATGTTTCCTATGAGGGTGTGCATGTGCATATTAAGAAAAATATAAGGATGAAGGAGGGAGCTTTCTTGGCACGTGGTTTTGATGAGCAAAAATCACGTCGATAAATTCCAGGTGGATATGTCCAATCGATCGGGTCCAGACATGCGTATATATCAACATGATATATTACAAACACAAAGAGTTCGGTTTGTCCTTACCATGACAACATATGCTCACCATGTATTTATTCCTTGCAGAGAGAAGGATATCAAACCATCTTGGATCTGCTCCAATTATAGCTATCACTCGTGCTTTTTCTATTGTAGTAATTAGAACCCCACTTTCAAATCTGGAAGCAAGAGATCATTATCACGAAACATAATACTGTAAAAACTTATCTGCAATCATGAGGTTATTTCACTCAAAAGAAACCATGTCTTATATGTTGAAGATCAACATTATAGCTTGAATAGTTCAATTCGGCAATGATCTCACTACTTCCATATAAATTATGTGTAAAAGTGGTATGATTGAAGTTATTCCCTATGTTAACACTAATTAGAATAGTTTTAGTTTACTGGAAACTAACCACAAAAATATTTAAAATAAGAAAAATGATGATACTGAAAAGGAGTATCAAAACAAAAGCAACAAAGTATAACTATTTATTTTTAATCAACTCAAAAGTCAACCTAGAATATCAACCAAATGAAATGATGTTAAGAGATCACACTTACTGTCAAAGAAAACTACATAACCCACCAATCACCTCCCCAAGCAAGAACACTCAACATTTCCATATTTACCCCTTTGAAAATTGCTTTGCGTAACAATATAGGTGGAGGAGGTTAAGCGGTTGTCGAGTCCGGTGGGAAGGTCTTGAGTGACGGCGATGGTTGAGCGTTTAGTAGGTCGGGACACCATTTAAACCCGTTTACATTAGTTGTGCCTTTTCAATCCGCATTCTACAAACCAACATCACTCAACATTTCCATATTTACTCCTCTCTTAAAGACACATATACCCCATATTCACTCAAAACTTCTATGTTAAAAAATAATGTTGTCTTATGGTACTTATATTATCTATGTCAAGAATTCTACATCGCTTCTACACATTCAATATTGCAATTCGATGTGCATTATTTGCACCAATGACATTAGGCTTGCGATTTTAAAATTATTCTCTTTTTATAAGACAAATAGAAATAGAAATAATTATTAAACTCAAATTAAAATAATCAACGTATGAAAATAGAAATATCAAATGGCCAAAAAATACTTGGGGGAGAGTTAGTGGCTTAGCTAACTGTAGGGGTGGGCATCCGGTTCGATAAACCCGAACCAAAACCAAACTTGACCGAACCGAAACCAAATTAATGTTGTTTGGTTCGGAATTCGGAAGGCAAAAACATATATTTCGGAAATCAGGGTCTGCTCAACCGAACCCGATATTCCGAATTCCGACAGAACAAACCGAAATTCTTCACCCTCTCACACATACAACCCACAATTAGAAGCCAACTCACACACACCCAACAATTAAAAGCCCACTCTCATACACATACAACCGACAACCCAAGCCCACTATCTTACACTAAAACCCTAGCCAAGTAAAAAAAATCCTCTTCTTCCTATTCTTCCATCGTCATGCCTCGTTGAGGTCGTCATCCCTTGCTGTTGATGTACTGCCGCTGCCGGCTGCCTCTGGCCGACCACCGGAGTCCAATACATTTTCCCTCTCCGTTCTCTTCTCATCGCCGACCATTGAAACTCAGAAAATCAACCAAAAACAAAATCATCGATTAGCAAACGCATACAAAAAATCCAATAAACAAAAACAAATATAGAATCGTTTTACCAAGGAGGGATCCAGATCCCAGATCTACGACGACATGCGATGACAACCAATCACATAGCTACGACGGCATGCGACGGCGACGAAGGCGACACCGCCCAGATCTGGGACGGCGGCGGCGGCGACACCCCTCAGATTTGTGGCGGCAGGCGACGGCGACGACAGCAACACCCCCAGATTTGCGGCGGCATACGACGGCGGCTTGCCTCGTCTCTCTTCACGGCACTGGGAGCGATCGTCGACGGTGGGGAGCTTTCCTCCTTTTTGATCGTGTCGCCGCCGCCGACATGTAGGCGATGCAACCGCCGTTGTCGGCTGCCGCTACCCCCGCCGGCTTCCGTTGCGAGTTGCCGTTGCCGTAGGAGAGACTAGAGAGAGAAAGAGAAAGAGGTGAGGAGTTCGAAGATGGAGGAGAGACTAGTGAGAGAGAAGGGGTAAGGGATTAATTGACGGAGGAGAGAGTAGAAAGAGATTGGGGTGAGAGATTAAACTGGGGCTCGTTTGAGATAAGGCACCAGGTAAAAATGGGCAGCAGATGAGCATTTCGGTTTTGGGCAGTCAAACCGAACCGAACCGAGATATAATTCGGTTCGGTTGATGGAGGAGAGACTAGAGAGAGAAAGGGTGAGGGATTAATTGACTGAGGAGAGAGTAGAAAGAGATTGGGGTGAGGGATTAAACTGGGGCTCGTTTGAGATAAGGCAGCAGGTGAGCATTTCGGTTTTGGGCAGTCAAACCGAACCAAACTCTAATTCGGTTCAGTTGAACGGAACCGAATTATAGCTCGGTTCGAATTCGGTTGGGGTGTTGGGTACTTCGGAAATTTGGCATGTCCTGGTTCGGTTTGGTTCAAACCGAACCGAACGAACGCCCACCCCTAGCTAACTGTGATGGAAAATTGCTATGATTTTTCAGATTTAAGCTTCCTATATATTTTTAATTTAAAAAGTTTAAACAAATTTGTTTAGTGTAACTGGTTATGTTTCTTGTATTTTCTCAAAGAGAGCACAATTCAAATCTCATCACTTATGTATTTTTTCTATAATTAAGAAAATAATAAATGACTGTGAAGACAAATCTACTCTTCCTACTTTTGCTATGGATGCAAAGATTTTGTAATGGGGGAAGCACTTTTCACATTTCACTATTATATTAGGTGTAGGGAAAATAACACGGATGGTTGAGCGTTTATTGGGACGAACACTATCTGGGTCCGTTTACATTAGTAACGCATTTTCCATCTACATTGGGCAAGCCAACAACACTCAATATTTCCATATTTACCCCTCCAAAATTTTTTATGGCATAACAATAGAAGTAAAGAGGTTAGCCGGTTGTTGAGTCTGATGGAAGTTTGGAGAGACGACGATGGTTGAGCATTTAGTGGGTCGGGCCACTATTTGGGCCCTTTTACATTAGTAGTGTCTTTTCCATCTGCGTTCGGCAAACCAACATCACTCAACCTATTCATATTTACCCCTCTCTTAAAACACATGTGCCCATATTCACTCAAAAGTTCTATGTTTAAAAATATCGCTATTTTATGGTAGTTATAACAATTAAGTCTATGTTAAGAATTCTACATTGCTTCTACATATTCAAGACTCAAGAGTGCAATTCGATATGCAATATTTGAATCAATGGCATTTCGCTTGCTAACCGTGGTGGAAAAGTCCTGTGATTTTTTATATTTAAGTTTCATGTATGTTTTTAATTGACAAAGATCACACAAATGTGTTTATTGTAATTGGTTATGTTTCTTATGTTTGTTTGAAGAGACCACAGTTCAAATCTCATTATTGATCTATTTTTTTGTAAATAAGTAAATGATAAATAATTGTGAAGAACTCTAGATGCAGGAAATTTGAAATGGGGCTTCAACTTTTCTCATTTGGATTTTAATTATTGTGTAGATTTTTCTTTTTCTGTTCACATTTTATTTTGTATTTATGACGTCTAATTAGTTGTGCACTTTGGATTTTGAAAATAATAAACAATGTTGCCTCTAATTGTAATTTATCAATTAATTAGATTGTATCTATGGATGAATGGATTAGTGGATTCATGGGTTGGATTAAATAGATTGGTGGATTGGATCATGTCCAAATAGCATCTAAACTATTGGACTAATATATAGATTTTGAACATTTTAGATACTAGAATGTCATGATAAAAATTTTAAGCTATCAAAATAAAATAAAAATTTCAATGATATTTTACGTAAAAAATTATAATTTAGTTTTCAAAATGTAGATTAAAAAAATATAGGTGAAAAATTGTAATTTATCAAACAATCATGAATCCACCAATTCAATTGGATTTATTTCGTTGGATATTTAAGTAGATGAATTCGATTATATTAAAAATCATCACCTCTGCCTCTAGTGGTAAATCGTTATAATCGAAATCTAATTGCATTCATGGTCAATTAATTAATTTTTTTAGTTCCGGTATATTTTTAAAATATTTGATCGAGAATTTCATAATTACCATGGGGGAAAATAGTTCATCTCAATCCCGCAGTAAAGCGCGGCCGGACATACCTAGTATATATATAAAAAAAAACATACTGAACTCCTCGAGGTTCGTAAAGAGTCTTAACTAATTTGATTTGTAAGTAAATGGAGAGAGTGTTATTGTACCCAACACCTAGGGCTGGAAGTTTGGTATCGGTATTTGGGATATACTGAATAACGTACCAAATTTGTTTATATTTGGTATTACCGAATACACGTATTATTTTTTTGGATTGGGATTGAGATTGAATTTCAATTGTAATTCGATATTAGGGATTACGAGATTGGGATCGGTATATACCGAAATATAAGCTAGTGTGTATTTTATCCTCTCAACTAGACTCTCTCATCCACTACTAGACTACCCTAAACCACCAAGAGTGTCATTTAATTATACATAGATCATTTCATCTTTGTTTCACAATTCAAAAATCTCCATCCAACTCAATTTTGACTTTTCAATTTAAGTCACTCACATCTCTCACCTAATAACTTGTTATTTTCATAACACCAAAAGACAAACACAAGTATTAGTCGTCTCTCAGCCTTCAATTCGTCAAATTAAAGATTACCAATGACAGTAACGTGAGATGTCACATCTCCTTCATTCAACTTATCCATATCCTAGCTCTAGGCAAACTCAAGACTCTTTGCTTAGTCATTTGTCCTAAATTAAACAATCTAATTTATATATTTAATTATTTATTTCAAATGTAATTTATTTTGTATTCGATAATACTGATTGGGATACCGAAGTACCGATTGGGATACCGGAATATTTAGGGATTGGGATTGGGATACTGAAATTATTAAGGGATTGGGATTGAGATTGACTTTCAGATATAATTCGGTATTCGGGATTTCGGTATTTGGTATTGGGATACCGATACCGTACCGATTTTCACCCCTACCAACACCCGTTAATGTGTTTGGTGCCAACAAGTCTGCTAATGTGCTCTTTCATGAGAATACCAGACTCCAAACATGTAGAGATAGATTGACACAATATGCATGTCTGACAAAAATCAGTCTAGATTGATTATATTGAAGTAGGGATGGCAATTTTGCACAAATTCATGGATATTTTCTACTACACTTCAATTGGGTTGGGTATGAAAAATGAAACTCAAATATATAGTAAATGTGTAGAGTTTGATAGGTCTATATCCATCCATTTATTTGGATTGGGTGGAATTTTTTTTTGTTAATGGCTAAATCAATTACAATTATTTAATTCGATAGAAATGAAAAAAAGGAAAAGAATGTAAGGAAAGATGGGACACAAAAATAAGAGCAGAGGCAGAGGGCTTGGCAATAAACCCTCGCGCTGCCAAGAAACTTGTCAAAACAACATACCGAGGACAAAGCCATTCCTAGTGTTATCCTTCTCATCAAAACTCCCAAGATCTCTCCATTTATCCTTCATAGCTCAAGGTTATAGTGCTTGTTCTGTTTGTGATGCTCTTGGCATGAATCGTTGTTTTAAGGCCCTCATCCCATCCTTTGTAATGCATCTTTCCACCTTCTCATTGGCGCATAACCAGTTAGCTATGGAGCGACCAATTCTATAACACACGATGTTGCCTGCTTCCTTTTCATCTCTGAAAGTTCTTTTATTTCTTTCGAGCCACACCCGCCAGCATAGGGCATGAAGGAAAATTCTTGAACACCATTCTTCCGGGCAGTGTGGTTCCTTCAGCTGCCACCCTCTAATCACTACAGCAAAGTCTGAAGTCCTGAACCTGGGCCGCTTCACATATCTTCTTATATATCGCCAAATCTCCTGAGTGAACCTACAAGTTAGGAATAAATGATCCACACTCTCTTCAACTGCACGACATAGTACACATGGATTTGGTATCACCCATCCTCTTTTATGAAGAAGATCTTGTGTTAGTATTCTCTTTCGGTAGGTAATCCACATGAATACACACACTTTATGTGGAATAACTTGCTGCCAAATAACTCGGGCAGGAAAATCTGCTTCGCCTGAGTTTCGTTCAGCAGCCAGGCTTTCATACATCGAGTGCACCCGAAAACCTGTACTTGGAGACGGCTCCCAAATTAATATCGATGGAGCTGTACAAAACAAAGTGGAAGGTATGTTTTGAAGTAAGTTTAGTAAGCTAAGTCTCTCCCTCTCAACCCCTCCCCGCAAGGTGTATAAAGAGGTAAGTCCCATGTGATATTTCCCTCCCCAATTTGCAGAACATCAGCAATTCGACAGCTTGGTGACATGGCAGCGGCGACAACCCTTTGAAAGGCTTCAACAAGTGAAGGTAGATCCCTGACCCAAACATCGTACCATAGAGAAGTCCACTCACCTTCCCCAGGTTCCACCCTTGCAAATCTCCAAAAATCTTTCGCTTTTATTAATATTTGTGACCACGACCTGCATCCCATCGAGCCTTTATGATCCCCTGAGATCCATTCTGATTCCCTGCATCCCATTGAGTTTGTACGTTTGCCCATACGCATACCTAAACCAGTGTTTGTAAAACTGTACCGTAACGATTGTCCGATCGAGAAAACCTCCTACAGCAGTCTAAACCGTTAGGTGGTTTTTAGCGGTATGAAATATGAACAGAAAATTACATTTTAGTACCTAAAATTTTTATCTTTCATTTTGTTACATAAAGTTTTTAAGTTTTTACAAATATGTCCAATTTTGTATATGTAGTTACAACAATCTAAAGTAAAATGAGCAGTGATACCCAACCATTGAGAATATGAAAGCAATTTTCATACCCTACCTAAATCCATTTACAAAACTTTATAATTGTCATCTATATTCACTTATACCCTACCCATAATCAATGGGTTTACTTAAATTTGGATAAAATTACACATGGGTGGATAATTGTCATCCATAAATTGAAAAAGGTCAAATTTCTGATGTAATTAATATAAAATATTATCTTAAAATGAATTATATGAAAATTGGACATGCCAACTGTTTTACATATATACTAGGTGGCGATGTCGCGACTTGTCGCGGGGCGGAGATGGACTATGTGCATGTATTGTGTGGCCCATTATGGTGTTTTGTTAGTATTATTAGTCTAAAATTAACTTTTTGTTAGTAGTTTTGTTAGTAATATTGACTTGACCATATGATATTGACTGAGAAGATATATATGGCGGTCAACATTCAATTTAAAAAAATTGAAATTTTTGGGTAGTAAATGATATTTAGCTAAACCCAAGTAAACCCATTGATTATAGGTAGGGTATGGGTGACATATATACGGATTTGGAAGTTTGTAGATGAGTTTGGGTAGGGTTTGGATATTTACTTTCATAATCTAAATGTGTATGAGTTGGGTATGGATACTCATTTATTCGAGAGTGTTTTAATTACATATACAAAAATTAAACCTATTTGTAGAACTTTAAATGTTTAGGTACCGAAATATAATACAAAAAAACATATAGGTACTAAAATGATGTTCCATCATCATTTTGAGGACTTATACGCAAAAAAATAAATTTAGGTTATCAATCTAAAGATCTATTTAGTTTAGGTACATAACTATAATTTGCATAGTTGAGGCTTAATTCCTTTTATGGTGATGTATTTAAGGTGATAGTTGTTTACTTTTTTTATAAAAAAATAAAAACTATTTATTTGATATGGCTAGATACCTAGCCAAACATTTCATGTATAATTGTTGAAAATTGTAGCCCGGGTGGAAAAGAAAAACTATAGAGAGAAGCAAAATGAATACAAACTTGAAGTCGCTTAAAATTTCATGCCCTCAAATCTCATAGTGAAAAATGATGGCTTTCTAATAAGTAATAACATATTTATTTATTTTTTACTGGATTGGACATTGAGTTGTAAAAGTTAATGGTTCATGGTTCAATTATTAGTTCTCTAGACTGTTGGCGAGTCGTGTATGGACCCGTTTATACTTGTAATTAGAATACATAAAAATAGTATACTAATTTGGGTTAGATGAAGAAGGCAAATAAAGAAATAAAGAAAGGGTTATGGAGGGGGAGTGAAAAATGAAACGAAGAGAAAATAGATGATGTAAATGTTTTGACCAATTCTTTTAGTTGAACGTCAATACAACAGTCAACCCTTTTCACTGTAGCAATTTATTGACATTTGCTTATGTAGATGTCGCATATTTTGTTACATGTAGTTAGTAGAAGTTTGTTTAGTATCCCGTAAATGTACTAAATGAGTTTATAAATTCGCTCTTTTAATGTTTTAGAGTCGTCTCTCTTTTATCATTTATTTAATGATTCACGTAATGAGCAAATATAAAATGATCGAATCTTCTCCTACAGTTGAGTGATACAACATCTTGTATTATACAAACTAAATTTATACTTTTATGTTATGGTGGATTTGATTTATGCATTGGTTCAAAAGGATTGGTGGATTGGATTCATGGATTCAAGTAAAATCTAAACATTGGACCAATATATAAATTTAAAAAATTGTACGTACGAAAATCTCATAAAATTTAGATACCAAAACATAATTGTTCATGATTTTACATTAAAATTAAATTTGAGATATCAAAATGTAAAATATACATTACAGTGACTAAGCTGTGATTTAATTAAATTTGGGGTATGAAAGTACAAATAATTAGGAAACAGTAACCCAACTTCAAATTTATATATATTAATTCTTCTCAATGGTACAGGAGGGAAAGAATTTTGAAGTGCATGTATGTATATATATAGTACAAGTATAAAACGAACTAAAATATTAGTATCATGTGGTCTTCTACAGCATCATATCGTCTCAGTACTCCATCATTTCAAAGGGTTTGTCCTAGGCGTAGTTGCAGAGCCCAAAAGCACAGAACCCCCGCTTCCCGTTGCCACCACCCGCAGCAGAACACTTGTTGCCGCATCCGCCGCAGTGCGACCTGTCGAAAGAAGGGTTGACGCATCTTCCACGGCAGCAGATCTCGCTGTACTTGCACTTCCTCCCACACTTGCCGCAGTTGACTGGATCCCTCATCACATCCACGCACTTCTTCTTACAACAATGCGGCCCCGGGCTGCCCCTCGCGCTGCATATGGCAGGGAACTTGTCGCACGTCTTACGCCGCCCCGTCAACGACGACGCTGCGGAGGCGACCTTCTGAGCAAGAAGAAAGCGGCTAGTCACGTCGACATGTTCTTCCACGCTGCCAACTGCTTCTTGTTCGTCGAGTAGGACTGCTTCTGGTGTCAACGGTTGGCCGTGGATGGTTGAGAGAAGAAGGGCCGTTGACACTAGGTTAAGGAGGAGGAAATAACGTTTCAGCATGTTCATGTTTGCGTAGCTAGAGAGGGAGTTGAAGAACTGAATGGAATGGAATGAGTTGGTTTGAGAGGATAGGGAATTTATAAGGGTTGATGAGAAGCTCGATGGTTTGCCTTCTGTTAGGTACTAAGTAATGAAGCCGCAGGGAGAAAAAGGGTTGGGGAGATTTTATTATTGCGTTATGGCGGCTCTTTATGATCAGCATTCAGCTGGAATTATGGCTTATGGTGATGATGAGTCAATTGTTTCCTAAAATTAGGCAACATTGGTGTGATCTTGGTCAACGCGTTTGAAAAATGTATGAACAGAAATGGCAACTTTGATAAGTCAAATTATGGTCAGCCGCAGTTCGGCAATTAGATGGTAAACAAAATACGAAGCCGCAGGCGTACGTACGTCGTATATTTATATGCATTTGTAACAGAAAAGTGGAGAAAAAGATTCAGCATGGAAAATACACCTTTACTAGTTGAATGAACCTGTAAAGAGCCGAATCAATCAAGTTGGGATTTTATTCCGCTCAAATTTTGTTCATTTATAAATTGTTAAATTCAGAGTCAGACTTACATCAAGACACTAGACACCCATAAAATTTATAGAAAATTATCATCAACTTGACCATCCTAATTAGATTTTTTTTATTGATTATGTTTATCGTTTTAACATATTGAACGATCGCAGTTCATGTGTTATTCAAAATAATTTTTTTTTGGTGAAAAATATAAAACTATTGAATAGATATATAAACCTCTCAGTGGAGCATTCACAGCCGGTATGTGTGACTTGCTCACACTTTGGATATCACAGTTGACATGATTTTTTTCAATGCAATATCTTATGAACTTCATTTTCATATTTCTTAATTTGAGTATCAAAGTCAAATAATACTAATTCATTCCAAATCATCTATCTGCGCATATGTTTATTCTCTCTTCTTAATATTGGAAAAACGATTCATCAAAATGATTCACCAAAAGAGTCCCGATTCTCCTATTGTCCTTGGATAAAAAAATATAATAAAGAAGTAATGACGTCACTAAATTAGAGCTGGGAATTGGGAAAGGCGCCATCACATGACTTAGTGTATGGTTGCAATTCACAGAGGTACGTAAGCAGATGATGGTAGCCAGGAAGGCTAAAAACGATGTAAAGGGTAAAGGGACATATCTACAGGGTCAGGGAGAATCTCTGCTTCGTTGCTTTTTCTTTTCGTAAATGGTGATAACAGAATTCAGAAAGAAAAAACGGGCAGGCAAGGGGATCGAATTTCCCACCTGATGGGTAAAGAACATATATCTCTGTCACTGCTGCATGAAACACGATGCACCAACATTCATTGTTCGAGGATTACTTTGGCTTACTTTTTAACGGCATAGTTCGAGTTAAAGATAAGTGATTTCATTAAAGTTGTTTCAGAGTCGGAAGCAAATCTCAAAGGAGTAGAATGAACGAAATGACGAATACATGACGACATATTTAAAAAAGTGACTGGTTCCCCTTTAAAATTTATCGAGTTGTACCATATAAAATTGATGTAACATTCATACATATATACTAGTTTTTCATGTAAGTTTGTCAATTTATTCACACAAATCAATTCGTACTTTTCTAAATAACCTATTTTTCACACATTCTCAACAAAAAATTTCACAAATTTATTTTAAAATCTAGTCAATGAATTAAATCTCATCAACCATTCCTTACTAGTAATTAGTGCATAATCAACAAAATTTGAACTTATAAATGCCCTCCAATCATTTTAGCTTAAAAAACCATTACCTTGTACAAAATATAGTTTTTCCAACTCGAAACCTCTCAAGTTGCCCCAAAATAACTTGTACTATGTTATATGATACTTTGTGCTCTATATCTTTCTTTATATATAATTTCCTAGGGTCAGGGTCACAAATCAACCAAAGTACAAATATGGAGAAATAAAAGAAAAATTGTATCCATTGCTTCCAACTCGTCCAACATTAACTGAGAATCAATAAAGCCACACTCCCTGCACGTTTTCACTCATATAAGCCGCTATCACAGCCATCACTCTCATTCAATCTGCTCCGCCACAGCCCAAACATGTGCTCCACCATCACCACCACCACGTCTCTCTTACTACTCATTTCCCTCTCAAAACTCCTCACCGCCGCCGTCGCCCACTTCCAACCTTGCACCGACGACTTCCTCAAGCTAACCGAGCCTCGAAACCTCTCCAACTGCAAGCCCCTCCACACCCTCCGCGCCGAGTTCGCTTGGCAGATCCGCGACTCCACCACCCCTAACTCGCCAACCTCCCCGCCGACTTCAATCATCGACATCGCATTCGGCACGCGGCTAACCGAGGGCCTGGTCTGGCTCGCATGGGGAGTCAACCCGGGAAAGATGGCCAAGATGGTCGGAACCAGGGCCCTGATCGGGATCGTCCAAACCAACGGCTCGCTGGCCGTTGCGGCTTACAACGTCACCCGGCAGGCCAAGATGTTTTGCGGGCTGAACCCGTCGGTTGAACCGGACCCGCTCGTGGGGTTCCGCGACCCGCGGTTCGAGTACCGACAGGATTATGATTACTACGTCATCCATGCCACGGTGGCGGTTGTGAAGAAGGGGGAACAGTTGAGGCTGAACCACGTCTGGCAGCTGGGATACGACGCCGTTGGGATGTCGCCCAGGATGCACCCCACTACGTTACAGCATTTCGATAGCACGGAGACTTTGAATTTGGTTACTTCTCAGTCCACCGACTTCGGCCATCTCCAGCGTCACCTTAGAATGGTAATTGATTTTCTAATCCTACACTATTGCAGTTAGCAAAATACGGTAAGTTTACATATAAAATATGTATGGGTTATGGGTATTTCAATTTATTTCTGAACTAATGGTAAGTCTAATATAGTAAGTCGAATTTAAATATTAAAAAAAAACCGTGAATGTATAGATAATATTTAAATTATTAATTTAATTCATTAAATGCGGATATTAAATGTATAGATAATACGTGAGTGATCAAATGAACAAAACAAATGAAGTTATTTGATAATAATACATTAAAAAAAAAGGTTTAGACGTCCATATATATTCACGTATTGAATGGAGTACTTACTAACGGGTCGGTATACCTTTTCCTCCAAGATTAGAGTAGTTTGTTTTACTGATGATTGACGTATCTCTCCAAAAATTTGAAGGTGCATGGGGTATTGAGCATCATCGGATGGGGAACATTACTGCCGGCGGGGGCGATAATGGTGAGGTATCTCCGGTACCCATTCCAGGTACAGGAACACTGGTGGTTTTACCCTCACCTCACTTGCCAAGTCGTCGGATACAGCCTCGGCACCGCCGGGTGGATACTTGGCTTGTATCTCGGAAAAGCATCAAATCGCTATATCTTCAAAACCCACCGCCTCTACTCCATCTTCATCTTCACCTTTGCTACTTTACAGGTAAGTTGCTAGTACTCTCTGCCTATGTTGTCTTTCCTAAATCTCCATCGCCATACACAGTTACACACCCAACACAGTCAAAATCACGGTTTAAAGTTTAAAAATTTAAACTTTTATACCTCTATGTGATCAAAACACTTTGACGTAACCGTTTCCCTTTACTGTTATAGCCAAAATTGCACTTTCAATCATTAGAGTTTTACGCTTTTGACTGAATTGCAAATGTTTAACACGTACAGATGTTGGCGATAAAGTTAAGACCGTTGTCGACGGACCGATACAAGAGGTACTGGAACATGTACCACCATTTCATGGGATACGGTCTGCTGTCGGTGATCGTGATCAACATATTCCAAGGCATTGGGATCTTGAGACCAGCGTACAGTTGGAAATGGGCTTACGTCGGAATCCTGGCGGCACTGGGGATCGTCGTTCTCGCTCTTGAGACGTACACCTGGATCAAATTCTTCCGACCCGACCCGCACAAGAATACCCATGCGGCTGCCGACGACAGCATGAATAACCCACATCCTTCTGACGATAATATTGTGAACCGAAACTCCAGCCAGAAGCCGGACTCTAGCGCCGTTGGGCCGTCGCCGAGTTCTGCCCTGTCGCCGGCCGGGTCCAATATATTATAAATAATTTAGATAAATATATACAAGTGTGTGTGGACTGTGGTCAGCCATTGATTTTTGGATGGATGAAGTACGCATTGATTTGTTGTCTTTGTTCCTTTTTTTGGAATGTGGTCCGGAATGTTAGCTCTCGTTGAAGGCAAACTGACTACTATTATTTGATAAAAACCCAAAAACTTAAATACAATACTTCCAGCCTTTGATGTAGGCTCCCACGACTTTCCTCAACTTAATTCCTCCTAATTTTCAACTAGAATTAACAACAACTTGGAGCTACTCAATTAGTAGGTCTTACTTACCTATAAGACTACAGACTCTCTTGCTAAACATAACAAACGAATACGACACAGTTCTATCCAAAATACAACACTTCACCTCACATGACTCCCTCGTGATTCTTTTATTCCAACATGAAACTAGAATCCTTGTGGAGTCGTGGTTCCTTGCGTATCATTTTTATCAGTGCATTTGATGTAGTACTTGTGTTATAAACACACTGCTACGGATCGGGAAATCGCCGGAATCGACAAAGCAAGAATACGAAAGCGAGAATCGAAAACACGACACACGATTTACGTGGTTCACTAACACGATGTGTGTTAGCTACGTCCACGGGCGAGAGAGAGCCAATTTCACTATATCAAGGAGATTACAGATTACAGAGGAGTATGAGAAGTATTTATAGTACTTCTCCATGTGGGTCTAAACCTAATCCAATCTGGCAAAGGAAATGGTTACAAACCAGGCCCAGAACCCGAACCCAAAAAACATTGAGCCCATACACCGTGGGCCGGGGGCGTTGCCCCCGCAACCCCACCGGGGGGTTGCCCCTGGACCCCACTCGCTGACCGGGCAGCGAGACCCCCGATTACCAGTCGTAGCGGCTGATAGTCCGATTCAAGTCATATCAACAAATCTCCACCTTGACTTGAATCCTCTTCCTCTGAAATCTCTGATGTACTCTGCTCCTTC